TACCAGCACAACAACCATCACGGGAACAAGTACCAGTACAAGCACTGCAACCAGCACAACAACCATCACAGGAACAAGTACCAGTACGACGACCATCACAGGAACAAGTACAAGCACTGGAACCAGCACGACGACCATCACAGAAACCAGTACCAGCACAAGCACTGGCACCAGCACGGCGACCGTGACAGGAACCAGTACCAGCACAATTACAGGCACCGTGACTGCAACAATCACAGGGACAAGCACCACGACTGGGACACAAACCGTTACAACAGTTACCGACACTGAAACCGGTAGACAAACAACAACTTCCACAGACACAAGCACCACCACCGTAACAACTACCAGCACCTCAACAATCACACAAACCACTACCAGCACCATAACAGCAACCAGTACCACGACCATTACGGGCACAAGTACAACAACAGTCACGGATACCACTACCAGCACAATCACGGGAACCAGCACCACAACGATCACTGGCACCAGCACAACAACGATCACTGGAACCACCACAAGCACACTGACTGACACCAGTACAACCACGATTACCGACACTAGCACCACAACAGTCACTAGCACCGGCACAACCACGGGCACTGAAACTTTGACCAGCACCACAAGTATCACAGGAACCAGCACAACATCAATCACAGAAACAAGCACCACAACTAGCACAGACACGATGACAGACACCACTTCGACAAGTACAGTCACAAGCACAGAAACGACTACAGAAACCGACACAGAGACGGCTACTAGCACGTCCACAAGCACATCCACAACCACATCAACCAGCACAACTAGCAGCACGACTACCACAACTACTACAAGTACTCAGACCAGCACAGAGACTTCAACCACCACAACCACAGCAAGCTGGGTGCTTAGAGTGATCAGTGGGTTTTATCAATAGGCACGCGGTACGAGCATGTGTTATGGAAGCATTGCGGGTCGTGGAAGTTCAAGTTACTAATGGTAAAAACACTTTGGTGTTTCTACCTGGCTTGAAAAGGTCTTCACGACGTTGTCAGCTGGCCAAGGTTGTAGGGATGAGACGCCAAGTGGTGTGAAGCTCCTTGTGCAAGGGCGACTCAACTGCAAAGTAGCAGCGACCTTCGGTCAGCATCCACTTGCAACTCAAAGTTTCACATCAAATTCATATCATATGTTTTAAATTCATAGACAATGATTTCTTCCACGATTGCATAATTATTGACTAGGATGTAGAGGTAAAAACTGGCACGTGTCAAGACGGGTAATTCAATCCGTTTGATTGTTGGAGGACACACATTGGCATAGCTTTTAATCATAATTCAACTCCATAAATGTCTTGATTCCCATAATCGCTCCATTTTCTATGTTTGTCCAAGGCCTGCGAGCTGCAAAGCATTGCCCTCGGGGGCAAGGTGCCTTGGCCAAGCTGGTTGGGGACAAAGATGCAGCTTCACGGTGCGACAGACTTGAACCGGTGGTAGGTAGGCCATTGCTATTAGGTTGGAGGCCATCGTTATTAGGCTGGAGGCCATCGCTGTTGGCTGGAGGCCATCGCTGTTAGGTTGGAGGCCATCGCTATCAGTGCCATTGCTACTAGTGTAGAAGCCATTGCTCGGTGGGAGGCCATCAATAGTAGGGTGGAGCCCATCGCTATTAGGGTGGAGGCCATCGCTGTTAGGTTGGAGGCCATCGCTATCAGGTTGG